CCCCCTCCACTCCCAGAGCTGAGCATACGTTTTGAGAGAGACGATGAGAAATACATCCGATTCATCAGGAGTATGATCCTGCTACCAGTTGTGGGTGGCCAATTGTGAGCAATAAGGTGCGTGATTGCAGCCCCGGCTGCTTGGTTGAGAGTTGATTCAAATGCACTCATGCAAAATCACATTCAGCAAAATTGCCCTAGGAAATGCTTTGACATGCCCATGAACAATTCACAAATAAAAATAGGGATAGGGTAGAGTAGCTGCAAGATTGTCCATCTTGGAATTCAAGCACATTTTCTCAGAATGAACAATTCTTTATTAGACCTAGTAAAGGTTCAGAGGTTTTCTCTTCATTTCACAAACTTCGCTTAACTGGGTCAGGATTAATGGATCATGCAAAGAGCTTATGCTAGCAGGGTGGAGAGAGGGACCTTTTCAATTCCAAACAACATGGGTGGAATAGGTTTTCCTCAGTTCTCAAACTTTTCAGGGCTGTGGTTTGGTAAAGAGGCCCTCTCTAAATAAAAGTACTGATTTCATGGGGTCTGGTTTGGCAGGAAACAAATACACATTTACTTTTAACTGCATTATAATTGATAGAGCAAAGAAAGCAAAAACAGAAATGTTATAATTGAAAACCATTTCATTGGTAATAAGCAATCATTGCAACAATCAAATTTAAAATATTTTCCCCCAACAGAAAGGATAACATTGCTTACTTCTGAGTTTGTTTTGAAATCTGGGTATGTATGTGCTGTGTTTCCCTGAAATTAAGATAGGGGTTATGCTAAATTTTGCTACAAAAGACGCATTAGGGCTTATTTTCTGGTAAGGGCTTATTTTCGGGAAATTATGTATTAAATGTGTCCATCTGGCTGACGATATTAACTGGGACTTATTTTTGAGGTGAGGCTTATATAACGAGCATCCTGAAAAATCATGCTAGGCCTTATTTTCTAGTTTGGTCTTATTTTGGGGGAAACACTGTATGTATTTGATTTATATTTAGATAATGCTCGACAGGCAACCACAACTGGGCCCAGAATTTCTGTTACTAAGCAAAGTGACGGTTAAGTGAATCCCCAATTTTACAACTTTTTTTGTATGATTGTTCAGCAAATCACTATAGTTAAGTGACTCGTGGAGTCTTTAAACCGATCTGGTTTTCCCCCACTGATTTTGCTAGTTGGAAGCCAGCTGGAAAGGTTGCAAATGATGATCCAATGACCCTGGGATGTTGCATCCATTGTAAATAGATGCCAGTTGCCAACTGCCCAAATTTTGATCACAGCACCATGGAGATGCTTTGATGATGGTGTGCAAGAACTGGTTCTAATCCACTTTTTCAGTGCCGCTCTTCAATCACTAAATAAATGGTTGTAAGTTATTTTTGTTCCAATGTATACCTATAAAATTAGACAAGAATTTTTTTCAAAATTTGAATAAAATGATGTGTAAATTCATCTGGCAAGGAAAAAGAGCAAGGATTAAATTAAAATTATTGCAGGACTCAAAGGAAAGGGGGGGATTTGGTCTTCCAGATTTGGAGAAATATTACCGGGCTACAGCATTAGTATGGGTAAGAGATTGGATATTACTAAAAAACAGGAGACTATTATGTCTGGAGGGCCATGACCTACAAATAGGATGGCATGCCATATTATGGGATCATAAATATAAAGTACATAAATATTTTCAAAGACACTATATTAGGCAAGCTCTTGTTGATGTATGGACAAAAATTTGGCAACCAAATTATACCCAAGTACCTAGCTGGATCTCACCGTTAGAAATATATGTACACCCAAAATTTACCCAATTAGACAAGACCATAACATATAAAAATATCTTAGATGAAAGAGGGGAATTGAAATCCAGGAAAACCCTCCAGGATGAAGGGATAGAATTAGAATGGTGGGCATACCTGCAACTACAGGCAAGATATCGGAAAGACCAAAAAGAGTTAGGCATTAAATTAGAACCAATAGAATTGGATAAAATAATATTGGGATCGGAGGATAAAATGATTAAAAAATTATACTATTATTTGTTAGATCAGGCAATGTACAAGGAACAAGTAAAAGTGACTATGTTGAATTGGAGCAAGGACTTTGGTCTTAATTTTGATCTGCACATCTGGCAAGAACTATGGGCAAGAAACAAGAAGCTTACTTTGGCCACCTCTTACAAAGAGAACCTTTACAAAATGTTTTATAGATGGCATCTCCCACCCACAAGATTGGCTAAAATGTGTACCAATGTCTCCCCTAAATGTTGGAAATGTAATTTGACAAGTGGAACTTACTATCATATGTGGTGGGAATGCATGCGAGCTCGTGATTTTTGGAACAGGATTAAAGTATGGTTGGAAGAAATATTAGAGCAAGTGGTAGAACCAAAACCAGAACTCTTTCTATTAGGTTTAACTACGTAAAAGCATGACAAAGGCGTACTTTCTTTAATGCTACACATTTTAACGGCTTCCAGACTGGTTTTTGCTCAAAATTGGAGGAATAAGGGAACTCCAACGGAAGAAGAGATCCTGTATAAAATTTTATCATGTGCTGAGATGGACAGGCTTACAATGATTATGAAAGACAAGACAGAACATGAATACTTTGAAATCTGGGGCAAATTTTACCGTTGGTATGAATTAAGGAGAACTGCTCGGACTTCAAGTTAATGGTAGAATTAAAAGATATATATAACTGTACATATAATTGTATATATAATTGTATTGTATAGAAGATGAGGCTTATATAGAGGTTAAGAACGATGTATTAAACTTTTGTACCATGATAGGAACTGATAGGAAAATTCATTCTGGAATGTCATGTTTGTCCATTGTTGTTTTAATTGTATTATGAATAAAAACATTTTTTAAAAAAGTAAGTAGTATTTACCTGCCAATCAATGCAGAGATCACTGATGCTACAAACAGGTTCACTCCAAACATCCACCTATTCAGAAACTTGCTGAATAACAACTTCAATCTGTTTCAAGCCTAGACACAAGAATGGTCCTCTACTGCTCTTCCAAAATGTCACAACATTCCCTGCTTTACAGCTGAATCAAAAGGATTCAATCTACCTATAAAACCCAATCAATCCTCAATAGGATAAGGACCCAAAATGGCCAGTGCACTAATCTCCTCCATAAATGGGGGAAGCTCTTTTCTTTGGAATATAGCTGTGGTGCTCCAAAGCAGACAGTGAAAGGCATTGTGGAACAGTAACCTCTGAGCACATATCATGCATTGACTATGTAAACAGTCTGTCTTTGAAATAGAGTGAATATTTAACTGTGACGTGCTTTTCCAACATTTTCACCATATACTAAATAAACATATACCAAATAAATAGTAAAGGGAGGAACCTTCTTCACTTTTTGATCTCCCAAATATCTTGGAGGAAATCCAGCTGGAAGAAAGAACACCAAAATCACATTCCCTCTGTATTATTGCCAAGATGACTATATAATTATTTAGATGAAATTAAGATACCAGGTTATGATGCATCTTTTCCCTTCATCAAAAACAAAGATCGTGAGGAGATCTGGAAGGTATGTTGAATCAGATCTGAATCACAAGTAATTCAGTGATGTTGCTAGAACTAAAAAGAGAAAATGCTCTTTTTTATAGGTGCATATACAAAAACTGGAACATGGAATATAAGAAGCATGAATTCAGGAAAACTTGCAATTGTCAAAGTGGAAATGAAGCAGACCAAATTGGTTGTCTTAGTAATAAGTGACTTTAACTGAATTTGAATGAGCCACTTTAACTTAACCATTAGGGCATGAATTCATCAGAATTGTATTAAATATGGTACTTAAAAGAACAACAATAAGTATGTACTTAGCTATAACTAAATAAACAATAGGATTGTATCTATTACAATTATTGGTTATCCTGCAAATACCCAAAAAAGTGAAAGCATCACTGCACAGAATGGAAATGTAGGTCTTCAGTCATTTGTCCTAAAATTGCATACTGTATATCCTTGGTGTGAGGAACACTTACATAATGCACTACAACATACAAGGATTTGTATTTTTTGGAGTTCTTCATTAAATCTTTGGCGTGGGAAGAAATATCAGAAAAATCAAGGAGAAGGATTTCTGGAACTTTATTGTAAATCAGAATTCAGACTTTATTTTAGCTGAGAATCAGATCACATAGCACACAACATACCTTCCTCTTCAGCAGAGTTTTGTACCTGCCCAGATGCAAATAAATGTTTTTTAAAACTTAAAGGACAAATACATAATTGTAAATCTTATATTTTTATATTTACCCAATTCAATCCCATTCCTTTCACAAACTTGCCACCAATTGTAGAAGATAATTTCTGGAAATATGTTTTAATTTAATTTATTATTAATAGACAGCACTAAGTAAAGCTATGACTTTCCTACTTATTGGAAATCAGAAGAAATGATCAATCAACATCACACCTTGTCCAATAGGAAGAACATCCTTCATCTATCTTATTTAATAGGGAGCAGGTAGCAGGCTGCCACATTAGCGACTTTCAGAACACAACAAAGGAAATAGATGGCTTAGTCCTTATTACTCAGAGAAATCTATAATGCTTCTTACCACACAGTAGTTCTGGCAGCCTAAGATTGCTATTGTATTTCCTCGAAAGTAAGGCCTACACCAACAATAAGCCCTAGTTTGATTTTGGGGGGTGGGCGTAATATAAGCCCTATCCCCAAAATAAGCCCTAATTTTAGGGTGAGGCACAGACCTAAAAATCAAACTAGGGCTGCCTCACCCTCCCTGCATCCTGTAAGTGGCCAGGCCACTCCTTGCCAGCCCGCTTCTTCTTCTGAGGCCTCTTCTGCAGCCAAGCCTGCATTTCTCAGTCACAGGGCTTTCCGCAAGGCCTGCGGAGCCAAAAACCGATTGAATCCATAGTTCGGTTCTGCAAGACCTCAGCAGCTGAGCACCAAGCTATGGATTGAATCCATGGCTCAGTACTCGGCTGCTTAGGCCTTCTGGAAATGTCTGACTACAAAATGCAGGCCCAAATGCAGTTGTAGCATTTCAGCCCCAGAAGAAGTGGCCCAGCTGGGTGGGGCTGTCGATGCCAGAGGTAGTTCATTTTGTTCATGCATGTGCACTATCCTTGGTACACCACAGGGGGCAGACTAGCTTTGCACCAGCTGGGTAGTAGCATTTGAAGGATGTTGGGTCATCCAGACTTTTTTCTGCCAACCTCGTTTCTCATCCAGGCAGATCTGGCACCAGCTCCCATTTCTAGACTGAGAGCTGCTAGCTTTTCCCACTGGAGTGATTCCAATTGGTCTACTTGCTTTTTTACATGCTTTTGAACTGTCAGGTCGGCAGGAGCTAGGGGCAAATGACAGGAGCTTACTCTGCCATGTGGTGCCATGGGTTTGAGCTATTGGAGTACCAACCATCCCAGGCCAACAAATCCAGTATTTTTAAACCATGACATCACCATGCCCCTCTTCTCATTTTATGCAATCCTTTGAAAACATCTTTAATTCAGATACCATTTCCTAGAAATTGATCCTTTTTTAGTGTTTTTCATGTGAAATTCTTTTAATGGAGTAATTTTGCTCCATGGTCAATAAATGACAATGAATATCTAAGGCTGAAGCAAATATCCAAGAAGGATGCCTGGACTGTATTGACTGCTTATTTTTTACCTAAGACCTTCTTCATGCCTGTGTAGTCTTCATCATATAGTACATCTCTTCTAGAGTCTAAGATCAGGATTTGTAAATTTTTCTTTTCTAGAACTTCTAGAGATTTTCCTTCTGGATCTGGTTGATGATTGTCAATGTGGCAATGGAGAGTTTGGAAGCTGCTCCACTCATCTTCTTAGAAAGGTATAGCTGAGATAGTTCCACCTGAGATCATTCAGCTGTTTTTTCTTCCTTATAAATTTCTCACTATGATTTTGATCGTAACCATAGCAGGCAACGTAACCTACAGATAGGAACTGTTTTATCATTAGCCCATAATTGGCAGATGAGCTGGCTGGAAGGAAGGGGCAAGTTAAATTAGAATTCATATAAATAATACATTGTATCTCGTCACATTAGAGAGCCTGTTTGATCTAGTAGTTAAGGCTCCAACCTAGCAACCAGGAGATCATAGGTTCTACAATGGTCCCATCTTAGGCACAAAGCTAGTTAGCTGGATGGGCAAGTCATCTCTCAGCCCTAGGAACAAGGCAATGGCAAGATTTATTCTGAATGCAGGGACTTGTCCAAGCAGTCACTAGGCATTAATGCTGACTCAAAGGAGAAAGAAGGAAGGAAGGACTAAAAGAGAAAAGCAAAAATATTGGCTTAATTTTTTTAAGAAACAAAAATCCTTATATAAGAATATGAGTCAAACTGATGAATGGCAAACAACAGGTTTAATACATTTGTTTGGCTTATTACATGCAATAAAATTTCAATAGCATGCTTCTTTTGAAGGAAACACAGATTGAATACAGTTGAAATACATTCTATGATGAAGCAGTGCACTAGAACATATTGGGCTAGACCAGGGGTAGGCAACCCAAAACACTTAAAGAGCCACTTGGACCCGTTTCCCACCAAAAACAAAACACTGGGAGCCGCAAAACCATTTTGATATCTAAAATGAAGATAACACTGCATATATCCTTTTTTACCTTTATTATAGGTGTGTGTGTGTTTGTGTGTGTGTGTGTGTGTGTGTGTATATATATATGTATATGTATGTATGTATATATATATACACACACACACACATACACACACAGGTAAAAAAAAAGGATATATGCAGTGTTATCTTCATTTTAGATGTCAAAAGGGTCTCTCTCTCTCTCTGTCTCTCTCCCTCCCTCCCTCTCTATCTGCCCTTGGTCTGCCTGCTACTCCTCTTCCCCCGCTCTCTTTCTTTCTCTCTCTCTCTCTTTCTTCTCTCTCTCTCTCTCTCTCCCTCTCTCTCTTTCTCTCTCTCTCTTTCTCCCCCCCCTCCTATCTGCTGCTCACCTGACAAGCTTCAAGCTGTTGTCCAACAAGATAAGGGGTAGACAACCTCATCTCTTTTATGACTCATGGACTTCAACTCCCAGAATTCCTGAGTCAGTCTAGCTGGGCTAGCTAGCTCTCTCCTGCCCTTCCTGCAGAGACGCAGCAAAGGGAGGAGCTCCGCCCAGTAAGCTTTTCAGCTCCTCGGAAAACACTGTGAGTCCACTCTCTTTTACACACACACACACACACACACACACACACACAGAGAGAGAGAGAGAGAGAGAGAGAGAGAGAGAGAGAGAGAGAGAGAGAAGCAGGGAAGCACAATTCCTCTCTCTGTCTCTGTCTCTCTCTGCAAAGGCAGACGAGGCTGGGAGCCGCAGGGGAAGGCTCAAAGAGCCGCATGCGGCTCCGGAGCCGCAGGTTGCCGACCTGTGGGCTAGACATTAATTCATGAACTTTTAAAATTGTGGGCAGTAATACATATACAAAAGACCCTTTTCTCTTGATGGGAGCAACTCATCAAATTAAATCAGGCTCTTCTGTCCCCTCAAATCAATTCATTAGAATGGCTTTGTTCCCCAACTCAAAATTCAATGACTCAAACTGAAGTAATGCTTCAAACTGGATTACAGCCAGTTTTCTCACACACTTCTAAAGTCTCCTAAAAAAAACATGGAGAATAATACTACCAGTATTGAATTTTGGCAGGAACTCAGTGGTGGGATTCAGCCAGTTTGCACCACTTAGGCAGAACCGGAAGCTATTTTTTTGTTGTTGTTGTTGTTGCCCAGGCCCAGAATGGACTTCCAGAAGCAGCATCCACACAGAGAACCAGTTGTTCACATATTTGAATCCCACCACTGTTTGAACTCCAGGTGCTGCTAAACAGGCTTTGTTTGGAGGGGGGCATTGCTCACTCATCGTCAACTCACCACTAGCACTTTGAATATTTATTTGAGTCAATCAGCAAAAGCAAAACAGAACTAGTTATTAATACCGATGGTTGGCTTATCTTTGTAAATAAGACCACTGGATTTTCAGACAAATTTATAGTCCAAGGTCACCCCAGCTGTCTTTTATGCATAAGGCAGGATTAGAACTCACAGTCTCCTGGTTTCTAGTCTGGTGCCTTAACCACTAAGTCAAACTGGCACTATTGAACCAGTATTTACTGCACATAAATAAAGTACACCCTGCTTTAATCCTCGTAAATTCAGAATCAAGCCTTCAAACTGACAAAAAAAATAATCAAGAATCTTACAGCACTTTTTGCAATTAATTGTTTTTATTAAAAGCTAGAAAGTTTCATGAGCTGCAGTTCACTATATCAGATGCATGCTGACAAAAGCTTATGCTTTTTATTAACATTAGGGTCAAAGAAGTGCTGCAAGATAGACTAACATACTGTATCTTTCTTCTTACAATTCCTTCAAGGTGGAAAAAAGATCATGCTTATGCATGATAAAGGAATACCATCTTTGGATGGATTTGATAGGCAGACTGATGAGTGATTGGACTGAACTGAAGCAGGAGGGAATGTATGCCCTGGTTATAACTGGATAAATGTTAACATTATGTCTGATATACGATGTGAGATACTCAGTTGAAGCCTGAGGCCCATCACCTGAAGCAGCAGGTCTACAGGTATGCTTTTTCATTATTTATATATATCCCTATACACAACTGCACTTCATTTTTTAAAAAATCTGTTTTCAATGTATCTTAAATTACTAATTATCTTTTTATATAATTTAAATCCTTAAAAACCATCTGAATAGTAGCTTTGCCAGCCAGCTACTAATAACTAATTTTCTCCTCGTTCATAACCCCATATCTAGAACCATACTATAGTTTTTCCAACCTCTTTCCAAAGATATATGTTCTTCAGCAGAACCAGCAGTTAATTTTTTTATTGCCTAGGTCCAGAAGGCACTTCTGGAAGTGGCATCCACATAGAGAACCGGTTGTTCACATATTTGAATTCCACCACTGTATGTTAAGGTTCCATTGGATCTATATGGTTTTAGATGTTTACTACTAACAATGACACGTTCACATTCTAGCATCTAGATAGAATGGTCAAGCCAAATTTTTTCCTGTTCAGCAACCCAAAATCTCAAGTTTGCAATACTTCTAGCTGTCTATCCGAGAGATTTATTTCTTTTAGGTCACAAAGGTGGTAGGAACTTTGTCAATCCTTGTCTCCTTGGTGCCCCCAACCTTAGACAAGTCTTCCTTGACATCTTGATACTCACACAATATGCTTTGGGAGTGGGATTTTGGCAGGAAACTAAGTTAGAGAAAAGGATAGCCAGATAGAAACTTTTGATGTTCTGTTTTAATCAAGTTGAATATGCAGATTTTAATACTTGATAAAGCGCAAGGATTAAGACTTGTTCAGGTTTTCCTAACTAACCTAGTGAACTCCAATGCTTTTCTTACCTAGTCTTCATTTTTCCTAGTCATGTATTCCCAGAAATAAATTAAAATTTTCATCAGATAACTAGAAATTTGGAAAATGAAAATATATCTCATGAAGCAAGATATTTATAGGATTCTTTACACATATAATGATAACAAGGACTTTAAACCATATAATACAATCATAGAAAAGTTTTTCATACCACTAGTTTATTATTCATATTAACAGGATGGCCAGTTTAGATGCTCAGGTGCCAATATATTTTATTGCTGTTGTTAAATCCAACCCTCTAATATAAATTAATGATAGATAGATAGATAGATAGATAGATAGATAGATAGATAGATAGATAGATAGATAGATAGATAGATAGATAGATAGATAGATAGTGTTATGTCCTGAGCCTGTGGAAGCAGGCTCGGGGCATTGCAAGCGGTCCCGGGCAGGTGCAAGGTACCCGGGACCAGACAGGCTGTCGCCAGTACTTGTACGCATGCGCGAGTGCTGGCGCGCCAAAAGTTGCAGATTGACCCGGGAATGGCCTATATAAGAGGCCGGGAGTTTTGGGCATTGGCGGCGTCTTGTAACCAGTATGCTGAACAGAAATAAAGAAGTTCCTGAGAACTACAACTGCTTCTCGTGTCATTGCCATTTCGCGAAGGACGCAACACTGGCGACGAAGGTGGGATTGCCTTACATCGACCGAAGACAGGTGTAAGCTTACCCGAGAGAGTCCTGAGCGGTAGGAATGGTGTTGACTCGGCAGCTACCCGCCAATCCAGCGAGCAATCGGGGGTAGGCTGGCTGATAGACCCTTCCTTTTCTACAAAAATGGCAAAAATTGGAAGACTTTCAGAATTCGACGTCTCGCATCCGGAAAGATGGGAGTCCTACGTAGCCAGGGTGGAAAACTATCTCAAAGTAAATCAAGTAAGAGAAGATAGTTTAAAAGCTGCCACCCTGCTGTGCGTTTGCGGGCAAGATGCATTCAAAATCGCTGAGAGCATAGCAGCACCTGCATCTCTAGAATCTGTCAGCTACGCAGATCTCAAAAAGCTATTAAAGGAGCACTTCCAGCCCAAGTTGTCCGTCATCGCGTGGCGACACACCTTCGAACAGAGGGATCAGCGACCCGGAGAATCAGCCAAAGAATACATTGCCACGCCGAGGAAGGCTGCTAAACACTGCGAGTTCAAGGATCTAGAAGAATGGCTGAGAGACAGATTTGTATGCGGACTAAGGCATAGAGAATTACAGCAGAGACTTTTTGCCAAAGAAGACTTATCATTCCAAGATGCCTTGAGAAAGGTTACTGCAGAAGAGGCAGTGGGCAGCGCCATCAAAAACATGCGGCCAATCAAAAGCACTCCAGAGGCTGCGTCCGTGTACCAGGAAGGAGTCCAAAGGAACCCAGAGGAGGATCCTGACGATGAAGTAGAGCATCTCTACCCCATGAAAGAAGGAAAACAGAAATGAAGCTCTTCAGCTCTTCCCAAGTGCCTCGGTTGTGGAGGTCGCCACAAGAGGACCGACTGTAGATTCCGCTCCGCTATCTGTAGGGCATGCGGAAAGCAGGGACACAATGCAGCTGTGTGTCTGGGCCGTCCGAAGGTACAACCTCAGGAAGAATTGCGCCTGAAAGGTACCAGGGTTCCCAGCCAAAACAGGGTGGGGTTCTGCGCTTCGCGAAGAAGCATTTATAGGACAGCACACACAAGCCCATTAAGAAAAAGCTGTCACTTAAGGTGAAGCTACAAGGGGTTCCATTGGCTATGGAACTGGATACGGGGTCTGCACTTTCGATCATTTCCATGTACACGTTTAGGAAGATTTGTTCTGGCAGTGGATTTCAGGCCAAGTTGAGGCCTTCCGACATTGTGTTAACAGACTTTCAAAACTCCAGAGTGTGTGTTAAGGGGGAGGCCACCCTTAACGTACAGTATAAGGAATTGAAGGTCCACTAGATGTAATAGTAGTAGGGGGTGAACGAACGAGTCTCATAGGACTCGATTGGTTTGAGGCCTTAGGGATACACGTCACAGGGCTCAATAGCTTGCAAACACTCGACCTACAAGAAGTCTGCAAAGAATTTGCAGATGTTTTCAGCCCTCAGCTGGGCACATACAAAGGACTCCCTGTGTCACTGAAGTTAGACCCCAATGTCATCCCTATTAGAATCAAAGCAAGAAGGGTCCCTTTTGCTTTAAAGGGTAAAATTGACACTGAGTTGGACAAATTGATTCAGCAAGGAGTTCTAGAACCTGTCGACTCCAGTCCTTGGGAGACCCCCATTGTCACGCCTCTCAAGGCAAATGGGGACATTCACATCTGTGCAGATTACAAATGCACTCTAAATAAGGCATTGCAGCAACATGCCTATCCTGTCCCTGTGATCAGTCATATTCTGGCCTCCCTCAAGGGGGGGGCGCGTTTTTGCAAAGCTTGACCTAGCTCAGGCGTATCAACAGCTGCCTGTTGATGATGCTGCTGCTGTAGCTCAGACCATTGTGACCCATAGGGGGGCATTCAAGGTAAAGAGGTTACAATTTGGAGTAAATGTCGCTCCTGGAATTTTCCAAAGCATAATGGAAAATACACTACGGGGTATACCAGGGGTTTGCCCCTATTTTAATGATGTCTTAATTGCAGAAGACTCTACACACAACTTAGCTGAGAGATTAAGGACTGTTCTGCTGAGGTTCAGGAAAACGGGCCTCAAACTTAAGAAGAACAAATGTAAAATTGGGGTGCCTTCTACAGATTTTCTGGGATTCAAAATTGATGCTACTGGGATTCACCCTGCTGAATCCAAACTTAAAGCCATTATGCATGCCCCTAGGCCAAAGTCTAAGGCCGAACTACAGGCTTTTCTGGGCCTTCTGAATTTCTATAACTCCTTTCTCCCACACAAGGCTAGTATAGCTGAGCCTCTTCACAGGCTCTTGGACAAACAGGCAGTCTGGCAGTGGTCACAAAAACACGAAGCAAGTTTCAATGAGGTCAAGGCCTTACTCACGTCTAACAGCGTACTTGCACATTTCAATGAATCCCTTCCTGTGTGCATCGCTTGTGATGCTTCTCCTTATGGGGTGGGAGCCGTACTAAGCCACCTCAGATCAGACGGAACTCAGGTTCCTGTTGCACATTACTCCAGAACCTTGTCTTCTGCTGAGCGAAATTATGCTCAAATAGACAGGGAGGCTTTGGCTGTTGTTGCTGGAATCAAAAAATTCCATGATTTTTTATATGGCAGGCAGTTCACGGTCTTCACTGACCATAAGCCTTTGTTGGGACTGTTTACCACACGTAAACAAACTCCCCAGATCATCTCCCCCAGACTGCTGAGATGGTCTATCTTTCTGTCTGCCTATGATTTCTCCTTACTTCACAAACCTGGGAAGGAAATGGGCCATGCTGATGGCCTCAGTAGATTACCCCTGCCGGTAATAGAAGCTGACCCTGCACCAACTATCAATATCCTCTCCATTCAGGCCTTGCCTGAGTCTCCTTTAGATGCCAGGGATGTGGCCGCTGAATCAGCCACAGATCTTACACTTTCACGTGTCCTTTCTTGGGTTTTATCTGGATGGCCAGAGAGCTGTCCTGGCACTGAGTTTCAGAGTTTCTGGTCCAAAAGGAACGAATTGTCCACCTTCCAGGGTTGTCTGCTTTGGGGAAGCAGAGTTGTCATTCCTACCTCAATGAGGACTAGGGTCTTAGGTTCCCTCCACGAGGGTCATCCTGGCATTGTACGCATGAAGGCGCTTGCACGCAGCCATTTGTGGTGGCCTGGGTTAGATAGAGACATTGAAGCTAAGGTGCATGCATGCCACCTTTGTCAACGCTCGTGCCCTGAAATGCCCCAAGCTCCTGTACATAGATGGGAGGAAACACAGTCTCCATGGTCTAGGGTGCACATTGACTACGCTGGGCCTTTTCAGGGTCAATTCTTCTTGGTCCTAGTTGATAGCCATTCAAAATGGCTTGCGGTTGTACCTGTCTCTTCCACCACCACTGCAAAGACTATTCAAGTACTGAGGGGGATCTTTGCTGCACACGGGCTTCCAGACGTCCTCGTGTCTGACAACGGCCCTCAATTCACTTCTTCCGAATTCCAAGCTTTCTTACAGGCTAACATGATTCGTCATGCCACCTCTGCACCTTTCCACCCATCCACCAACAGTATGGCTGAACCCATGGTTCGCATCACCAAGGATGCCTT